GTATTACTCATTGCAAAGCCCACCAGACTGACTCCTCCATAATTACCAGAGGAATAACCGAAGCGATACAGAGGCCAAAGCGAGCAGCCCTCCAAAACTGCACCCAATTGGGCCATGTACCCCTTGCCCCAGCTTCCTCCCTCCTCTCACTAACTTTCTCTCCCCCCTTCTGAGGTTAAAACCCTTATTCCTATTTACATATGCTTTTTCATCCTAACCTTCATGCTCTTTACACCTTTCTCCACCAATCCCTTTCCCTAATCTCCAGGAGACACACATACCTTAAACAGATTACCCAATCCTGCTCAATTTGCCAGCGCACAAACCCCAACTCCAATATTAGGCCCCCTCCCTTTCCTACCCACCAAGCCAGGGGATGTCTCCCTGCTGTGGATTGGCAGGTGGACTTCACACATATGCCTCCAATAAAGAGGATTAAGTACCTCCTGGTATTGGTAGACACCTTCATGGGATGGGTGGAGGCCTTCCCTACAACCAATAAAAAGGCCTCCACAGTAACAACGATTTTAGTCACAGACATCATCCCACGGTTTGGTCTCCCAGCCTCTATCCAGTCAGACAACGGGCCTGAGTTTGTTTCCTCTATTTCCCAAAAATTGGCCTTAAATATTCACTGGCAGTTTCACATTCCCTATCACCCCCAAACTTCAGGTAAAGTCGAACGTGCCAATCGCACACTAAAAAATACTCTCACCAAACTCTCCCTTGAGCTCCACCTACACTGGACAAAGCTCCTACCCCTAGTCCTTCTCCCCTCGGGCCCTCCCTAAAAGACCACTCATGCTCAGCCCCTTCGAAGCTCCTCTATGGCCGTCCACTCCTCCCTATCACGGTTCAGCCAGAACCCCTAACATTCCCCCCACTCTCCTCAATCCTCTCCTCACTTTTCTTCGCTCTCTCCTTTGGTCGCATGCTCATGATCAGTTACCACAGCCCTCTGACACCACCAAAATAACTCCCACCCTCCAAATGGGAGATCTAGTTTATCTAAAAAGTACAGCCACACCTGGCCACCTGCAGGAAAAGTGGAGAGGCCCATTTAAGGTCATCCTCACTACACCCACGGCTGCTAAGCTAGCAGGACTTCCCTCCTGGGTACATGTTCAAAATCTAAAATTGGCAGCCCCACAAAAGACCTACCAATCTCTTCTTACAGGACCAACAAAAATAAAGATCTCCTGCCTTCCCAAGATCCCAGAAGACAGAGACACACTCAAGGAGACTCCCAGGGCATAAGCAGGAGCCCTATGCCTGGGGGACCTGGCATCTCACCTACTCACTCTTTATACTTCCCCCTCCCATTCTTTCCTGTCAGTGCCTGCCCATGCTTTTACTCTTTCCTATATACACTCTACTCTGAGGTTTTAGATTTCCCACCCCCCAGTAAAATCAGCCTCCCTCCTTTTCATACCTTCATCTCCCTTACTTCATAGAGTGGATAGCCTATCTACTATCTACCTCTCCAAGGTACTCTCTCAGACTTTACTCCTGAAGAAATCTACTCATTGTCCAACATACTCTAAGCTCTACTGTAAACCACTCCACCTATGCTTCCACTCCATCCCTTCCTGTGGGTAATTCTTGTCCTTGTCCCTTCCCTCCTGAGTATTGGCCTGTGGGTAACTTCTCCCCCTGAGTGGAAATGGCCCCATTGCGCAGCTCTCTGTTTTGGATACCTCGCCCTGTGCGCCTTACTCTTTGTGCTCTCTTCTCTTTCTTATGACCTGTACCCTTGTGAGCCCCAAACTTCCCCCCTGCCCGTGCACTTCATCTTATTCATACCAGCACAGGGCTTGCTACGATACAGCTACTCCATGTACAATGTGGGGCAAACCACACTGGACTGCAAGGAGTAAAGGCAGCAATGCAGGCTATACTTGCTTTGGAAATCGTGGGCAACAAGTGTGCTGGACTGAGCTCACACATTATGGTATGTCTGACAGAGAAGGAGTCCAGGATCAGGCATACAAGAAGGTCCTCCGCACCCAGGTACCTCAGGTTCTTGACAACCTATTCTTTCCCACCAGAAAGCCTCTCAAAATTCCTTTACAAAAACTGTCCCTTTCTGAAACCCTTCTCCTCCAGGTCATAAATACCACTCATCAACTACTCAACCACACTAATCCTACTCTAGCCCGTGGTTGTTGGATGTGTCAGCGAACTGGCCCTTCTCAGGTCATCGCCAGCCCCATAAATATTTCCATACCTCTTACCTTAAACTGTTCTTTCACCAAAAGGCCCACCGCCTCCACCCTTTCCCCAGTTCCCCTCTTCCAGCCAGCCCCTCTCTGCCTACAGAGTTCCTCAGGGATAGTCGAGGTAGGTTCCCTGGTGACAAAAAAATGTCACACTACTAGGGCAGCCAACAAAACCGGGAACAATATCTGTTGCCCCCCCCATTCCCAGGACTCTCTTTTTATGCGGTCAGAGTGTATATCCCTGTTTACCCCAAGCCTGGAAGGGCATCTGCACTCTGGTATTTTTGGTCCCTGACATGGACATTATTACAGAAGATAAGGACCTACCCATCCCCCTCACCACGCATCTTCGATCAAAACGGGCAATCCAGGCCATTCCCTTGTTAGCCACCCTGGGAATAACGGCTGCCATGGGAACGGGGGCTGCAGGAGTAGGGACTTCTACCCACTACTACACAAAACTCTCTAATCAATTGATAAGTGATCTACAAATGGTGGCCAAATCTATCCTAACCCTACAAAAACAACTTGATTCCCTAGCCTCAGTTGTACTCCAAAACCGACGAGGCCTTGACCTGCTCATTGCAGAAAAGGGTGGTCTCTGCCTGTTTTTACAAGAGGAGTGCTGCTTCTATGTTAACCAGTTGGGAGTAGCAAAAAATAAAATTAGGCAACTCCAAGAACAACTAGAAAAACGGAGAAGGGAGTTGGAGGACTCTTGGAATCCTCCAGGGAACAACATTTCGCAGTGGTTCTCCTGGTTAATGCCCTTCCTAATGCCTGTATTTCTTGCTCTCATATTCCTAAGCTTCCTCCCTTGTATCATAGGAACAATACAAGGATTTCTTTTAGACCGTATGTCTGCTCTTGCTAATCAAAAATTTAACCCGTTGTACTTCCAGGGATATCAACCTCTCCAAAACCGCCCTGAAAACTACTGTGAAGGCCCCATCCAGGATGCCACAGGAGCCTGAGGATCCTGCCCCACACCCCTGCCAGCAGGAAGCAGTTAAAGAGATCGATGCTTCGCCCCAATTCCTGATCCTCAGCCCCTATCTTCATTATTATTAAAGAAAAATGGGGGAATGATAGAACAATAATGCCGCCATCTTATAAATTAGCGGCACCTCATGGAAAATGGAGCCATCCCCCACCCCTTAACAAGGTTTCCCGTGCTCCCAAAAACAAGCTCCACCTCCATCAGGGACCCCCCCCTCCCCATGCGCCAACCCCTTACCCTCCCTCTCCTATAAAAGGCCATGCCTGGCCTGAACCCCTTCCCTTTTGTCCTTTCTTCTTCCTGCACTACCTCGTACCTGCCATTAAACCCTGCCCTTGGACGTGAGTTTTCTCCTGAGTTTTCTTTGTGTGGCGTTTTTCCTAACAGCTTGTACACTGCAGAGCCTGCATTTAGCCGAGGGAGCACTTAGCTGAATGGAAAGTCTGAATGCAGTGACTGATCACAAGGGATCAGTTACACCAACTGCAAGACCTCAACATCGCTAGTACTAAAGCCAAGGGATCTGCGTTTCTAGACGCAGACCCACCCGTGGACGCGCCATTCGTGGGGGCTGGTGGATCAAGGCACAAGGAACTCTGCTTTCTTTTCAAAGACTCCCTTTCCCAAAGTTCTGTCCGTGGGGTGGCCCCTGTCGCCCTGTGGCTGGCGCGCGTGGAGAGAGGAAAGGCGCGGCGCTGGGGGTGCCGGAGGACCCTCTCCCCGCCCTAGCAACGTAACAGAGCTGGGGCCGGGCTGCCAAGGGCGTGTCACCGCCGGGACGGGTGTCACCTCCGGGACACGGCGGAGCGCAACAGAAGGAGAAACAGCCGCGGACGCCCCTGAAAGAGCAGGAGCACGAGGGCCTGCGACCATGGCGCTGACACCAGCACTGCAAAGCCGCACCCCACAACCGGACGGGGAACAGATGGCGCGTCCCTGTTGGCCCCCACCAACGCCCCCACGCCAGCACCACAGCACCCAATGCGCAGGCGCACCAGCACCGGAGCGGGTGGGCGGAGCCAAGGGCCGGAAGTGCCCCTCAATGCGGGCCTTCCCGGGAAACCCGCCTTCCGGAAGTTCCTGGAGGACCCGTGTAAAGGCGCAACCTCGGGTTGCTGGGCAACCAGAGCGAGCGCCGCTGACTGCCTCAGCGATCTCTGGGGCAAGTCGAGTGTAGCTCCCACCTGTTGGGCTGGCAGCCTTCCGTCCCGCCCGCCTCTCCGCGAGCCGCCTCTCCTCGCGTCGCGGAATCCCTGCCCTTGGCACTACTTACACTTTCCCGGCCCCCACGAGTCCTTAGCGCCCTCCTGCTTCAAAGCCAAGCTCCACCGAAGGCGAGGCAGTTCGACCCCGGACATGGCCTCCACGTTGGACCGCAGCCCTGGCGCGGGCACCGGGCACCGCACCTACACCTACACCAGCAGGCCCCGGGCGGTGCCCTGCCAGCGCCGCCGTTACCGGGACATCCTGTTGCAGCCGTGAGTGACCAAACCAGCCCCGTCTGGGTTCCATTTGCACCCCATCCCGAAGCCGGGCCCCTCGGTCCTGGCAAAAGCTGCCCACAAACTGCCTTCCCTTGTCCACACCTCTGCCAAAGTAAAATCCCGCCCTAAGGAACAGCCGTGGTGCGGAGGCGTGAGCTCTCAGCTCGCTGCGGTGCTACTGAGTTGCTGGCATGATCCATTCTATGGACATGAGTCACCTTTCTCTCAAACTTTGAGTCACACTCATGGCAACACAGCTCACTGGGGCACCCAGAACATTTTCTTAACCTGCAGTGCTGCAGTATTGATTTCACAGCTCCATGGTACAAACGAGGACACAAGTTCAAAGGTGGCAAACACAGTGGCAGGCACAGAAAAAGCTCTTCCACACAGCCTTTGGGCAAGCATTAGGTTACTCTGCCATGCACGATCGCGAATCTTAATTTAACACTGGTGAATATTTGCATATATTCAGATCTCTGTTTAATAAACACCATAAACTTTATGGTTCTCTTAAAGTTCTTTTCATAAGCCTCAATTTTTGGAATCCCAACTTGCAATTTCACAAGAATGCCAGCTGCACGAAATCAGGAACTTTGCATCTTCTGACCATGCAGGACCATGCCTGCCACGTAGTGACAAGCACTCAATACAAATTGATGATGTTGAACATCAACCATATAACTCTCGATGCTCATTTCAAACACTGCGTCCAAATTTATAATTCTTATTCTGACAGATACTTTTTTAGTAAGACATTTCTATCACTTAAGAGAAAACCAAGAAAGAAAACTTGAAGTTGAAGTGGGATTATTTGTGTTATAAAAGGATTCAATATAAAAATGACTCCTTTCAAAAACACTTTAGGGTGAACTTCAGTTGTTGCTCACAAATCACTATGCAATCAGACCAACAAAATTATTGCTATGAAATCAGATCAAATTAGAAATAAGAATCAATGTTGGCTCATCAGGGACAATTTTTGATAATTTATTTGTATGGTGAAGTAATCTGATTGACTAGTGTACTAAAGTAATGCAGAAGAAATAGTGAAATCTCAATTTCAAAATTAGTTGCTTACAAATATTAATCATTAAAATCCTTATGGATAAGAATGGTAACCTATGAGTAAAGTATTGAAAAAGTATCCAGGGGAATACTGTTAGGTGAATCTGCTGCTGAATGTGACTAGATGATGATATGTAAGAGAGTATACTTTTATATCGGTCTGCCTCTATCCTATAGGATCCTTAGTCCTAGCTTGTTCAAAAGTTCATTGAACTTGAGCTAGGAGCATGGCTTAAATGGTAGAGCACTTACCTAGCAAGCTTGAGGCCCTGGCCCTGAGTTCAGTCCCCAGTACTGAAAAAAAAACATTATATTGAACTTAATCTTTCAGGTTTCCAGTGGACACATGGCTGGAGGAATCAAGGTTCCAAATCATCTCGAAACTAATAAATGCCATTTAACTGGATAGCTATAAAGTTCTATATTTAGGTATGAAAAGTCAATTACACAAATGAGAGTATCTGATTTTTCATTCAGAAAGACATAGAAATTTAAGATTAACACAAGTCTAATGTGAGTCAAGGATTCTACCTAAAAAAAAAGGGGGGGGGAGGCTTCTACCTTTTCATAGAGTAACTTTGTGTGTGTGCTGGTAATTGAACGCATGGCCTCCCACTTACTAGGCAAGTACTCTACCACTTGAGCTGCACCCCCAGCCCAAGTCTTTAAACTGAAAGAGAACATTTCAATACTTGTCTTATCATTTATAAACAAGAGACTACATATTGAAAATCCCTAATCCAGAAATCTGAAGCTTTTTGAGTTACCAACATGATACTATAAGTGGAAAATTCCACGTTTGACCTCATGTAATTAGTTGTGGTCACAACAGAGGTGCAGCAAAAATATTCTATAAAATTATCTCTAGACTAGGCATATAAGATATATATGAAACATGCAAACATTCCAAAATATGAAAAAAGTCTGAAATCTGAAACACTTCTGATCCCAGGCATTTCAGCTAAGAGCATTCAGCCTGTACATCTTTTATGTATTTGTTGATAGTTAAGCAACTGTAAACTCCAGTAACATTCACTTTTAGGCAACTGCCCAAAGAAAATTATGATGACATCCTCATTTTACAATGACATCCTTTAGTAACCCTTCTAATAAATAGTGTAATGCAAAGAAGTGAGAAAATTATCTTAGAACACATCTTTTATTTGACCCTATCAAGTGAAGCTTAAAATCATCTTCCCTAAAGATGTCCTCACTCCAACTTACAGAACCTATGAATGTATTACCTTATGTTGTTAAAGGGACTTTTTTTTTCATTTTTCTTTTATTATTCATATGTGCATACAAGGCTTGGTTCATTTCTCCCCCCTGCCCCCACCCCCTCCCTTACCACCCACTCCGCCCCCTCCCTCTCCCCCCCCCAATACCCAGCAGAAACTATTTTGCCCTTATTTCTAATTTTGTTGTAGAGAGTATAAGCAATAATAGGAAGGAACAAGGGTTTTTGCTGGTTGAGATAAGGATAGCTATACAGGGCATTGATCACATTGATTTCCTGTGCGTGGGTGTTACCTTCTAGGTTAATTCTTTTTGATCTAACCTTTTCTCTAGTACTTGTTCCCCTTTCCTATTGGCCTCAGTTGCTTTAAGGTATCTGCTTTAGTTTCTCTGCATTAAGGGCAACAAATGCTAGCTAGTTTTTTAGGTGTCTTACCTATCCTCACCCCTTCCTTGTGTGCTCTCGCTTTTATCATGTGCTCATAGTTCAATCCCCTTGTTGAGTTTGCCCTTGATCTAATGTCCACATATGAGGGAGAACATACGATTTTTGGTCTTTTGGGCCAGGCTAACCTCACTCAGAATGATGTTCTCCAATTCCATCCATTTACCAGCGAATGATAACATTTCGTTCTTCTTCATGGCTGCCTAAAATTCCATTGTGTATAGATACCACATTTTCTTAATCCATTCGTCAGTGCTGGGGCATCTTGGCTGTTTCCATAACTTGGCTATTGTGAATAGTGCGCAAAAACATGGATGTGCAGGTGCCTCTGGAGTAACCTGTGTCACAGTCTTTGGGTATATCCCCAAGAGTGGTATTGCTGGATCAAATGGTAGATCGATGTCCAGCTTTTTAAGTAGCCTCCAAATTTTTTTCCAGAGTGGTTGTACTAGTCTACATTCCCACCAACAGTGTAAGAGGGTTCCTTTTTCCCCGCATCCTCGCCAACACCTGTTGTTGGTGGTGTTGCTGATGATGGCTATTCTAACAGGGGTGAGGTGGAATCTTAGCGTGGTTTTAATTTGCATTTCCTTTATTGCTAGAGATGGTAAGCATTTTTTCATGTGTTTTCTGGCCATTTGAATTTCTTCTTTTGAGAAAGTTCTGTTTAGTTCACGTGCCCATTTCTTTATTGGTTCATTAGTTTTGGGAGAATTTAGTTTTTTAAGTTCCCTGTATATTCTGGTTATCAGTCCTTTGTCTGATGTATAGTTGGCAGATATTTTCTCCCACTCTGTGGGTGTTCTCTTCAGTTTAGAGACCATTTCTTTTGATGAACAGAAGCTTTTTAGTTTTATGAGGTCCCATTTATCTATGCTATCTCTTAGTTGATGTGCTGCTGGGGTTTCATTGAGAAAGTTCTTACCTATACCTACTAACTCCAGAGTATTTCCTACTCTTTCTTGTATCAACTTAAGAGTTTGGGGTCTGATATTAAGATCCTTGATCCATTTTGAGTTAATCTTGGTATAGGGTGATATACATGGATCTAGTTTCAGTTTTTTGCAGACTGCTAACCAGTTTTCCCAGCAGTTTTTGTTGAAGAGGCTGCTATTTCTCCATCATATATTTTTAGCTCCATTGTCAAAGATAAGTTGCTTATAGTTGTGTGGCTTCATGTCTGGGTCCTCTGTTCTGTTCCACTGGTCTTCATGTCTGTTTTTGTGCCAGTACCATGCTGTTTTTATTGTTATTGCTTTGTAATATAGTTTGAAGTCAGGTATTGTGATACCTCCTGCACTGTTCTTTTGACTGAGTATTGCCTTGGCTTTTCGTGGCCTCTTGTGTTTCCATATAAATTTAACAGTAGATTTTTCAATCTCTTTAATGAATGTCATTGGAATTTTGATGGGAATTGCATTAAACATGTAGATTACTTTGGGGAGTATCGACATTTTTACTATGTTGATTCTACCAATCCATGAGCATGGGAGATCTCGCCACTTTCTATAGTCTTCCTCAATCTCTTTCTTCAGAAGTGTATAGTTTTCCTTGTAGAGGTCTTTCACATCTTTTGTTAGATTTACACCTAGGTATTTGATTTTTTTTGAGGCTATTGTAAATGGAATTGTTTTCATACATTCTTTTTCAGTTTGCTCATTGTTAGTGTATAGAAATGCTAATGATTTTTCTATGTTGATTTTATATCCTGCTACCTTGCTATAGCTATTGATGATGTCTAGAAGCTTCTGAGTAGAGTTTTTTGGGTCTTTAAGGTATAGGATCATGTCGTCTGCAAATAGGGATATTTTGACAGTTTCTTTACCTATTTGTATTCCTTTTATTCCTTCTTCTTGCCTAATTGCTCTGGCTAGGAATTCCAGTACTATGTTGAATAGGAGTGGAGATAGTGGGCATCCTTGTCTGGTTCCTGATTTTAGAGGGAATGGTTTTTAAAGGGACTTTTGAGATGTATTTAAGTTAAGCATGATAAAATTGGGAGATTATCCTGGATTATCCAAGTGGGCCCAGTATAATCACAGTGCACTCTTATAAGTACAAGAGGAAAGCAGGGAGGCTGAGTCAGAGAAAATAAGATGATGAGTAGCAGAGACTGGAGTGAAGCAAGTACTGACTGGAAGGGAGCCGCAAGCAAGGAAATTGGGGTGCCCTTTAGGGGCTGGAAAAAGCAAGGAAATATTCTCCCCTAGAGCCTCCAGAAAGAGTGCAGCCCTCTCAGCACTTT